TTTTTCTCTGTATCTATGAAGCGCCTTGAGGCAACTTATGTTGTGATTTGGCGCTATATAAATAAAATTGAATTGAATTGAATTGAATTGAACCATGAATTTAGTTCAGGTAAGCAGAGGGTGAGGGAGGAGGGGGGAGAGCAGAATCAGGTTTAGTGGACAGATAAAGCTGGGTGTCATCGGCCTAACAGTGAAACTGGATATTGTATTTACGAAAAATGTGTCCGAGCGGTAGAAGGTAGATAATGAAAAGAAGGGGCCCAGGACAGATCTCTGGGGTACACCAGTGGTCAGAGGGAAGGACTGAAAAGTGAAGGATTTGAGTTGAATGAACTGAGTGCGATCAGACAGGTATGATTTAAACCAGGCTAGTGGAGTATGGGAGAGACCGATGGAGGCCAGCCTACTGAGGAGAACAGAGTGAGAAATAGTGTCGAAAGCAGCGCTCAGATTGAGGAGAATAAGGATGGAAAGTAAACCAGAGTCAGCTGCTATAAGAAGATCATTGGTTACTTTTATAAGTGTTGTTTCAGTGCTATGGGAGGGGCGAAAACCAGACATGATACAATTTTATCAACGGTTGGAAGACCCCGCCTCCACGCGTAACCAGCTGTATTTCTGATGTGCGTGTATGTGTGCCTGTGTGTGTGTGTGTCAGTGAAAGCAACTTTTGATGAGTGCGTCTCTTCCTCTGGTCGACACCAGTGCAGGGGGAAGTTCAGCCTTGTTCCTCCTCACTGTCCCTGCCATGGTGAGCTTTCTTTTCAGCAACTCCCGACCAAGAGCACATGATGTGAAGAAGCTGTCACATGTGATATTGCACCCTTGGAGGCCAGTTGTCATGTAGACCTGCATTTGTCAGGCATAGCTGCTCCTGGCGTCACATGCTACCCAGATGTTTATGCCACATTTCCCTGGTTTGCTTGGAATGTACACCTTAAAGGGACAGCGACCTCTGAAAAGAACCAGGCGCTCATCAACTGTCACCTCAGGGCCTGGTTAGTACATAACTGTAGCTGCTCCACCCACCTGTCCCAAATGTCTCTGGTGGCAGCCAGTTTGTCATTTCTGGAAGAAAGAGTTGGAGGCTGGACTTGATATCATCCACATGACATGTCACATACTGTGTTGGCCCTGGCGTCACCTTTGTTTTCCACTCTTGCTCTACTTCCTCTATCCTGGGGGGATGAAGACCGGAGCAAGTGTCCACTCTTGGACTGGAATGTCTCCTCAGGTGCCTCTCCCTCTCCATCTGTTGACTGGTCAGTCTCCTCAAAGTCTGGATCACAATCTGTGTTGTCTTCCACATCTTAGACATCCTCCTCTATCTCTGGTTCCATTTCAGTGCTCTCTTCATCATGCTCAAGAAGCTGGACTAGAACCTCTTCAATGGATAGCTACTTGGTCAGTCGCCTACTCATTGTGCTCAGAGTAAAAGGAGTGCAAGGCAAACACCAAGCTATATATATGAGGTCTGAGTGAAGATGATACATGGGTTAGTCTGCAAGGTGTGGTTCACGTGGGGCATAGGCTTATGTGCCTGTCCCCCACGTGAACGTGTCGTGTACCCGTGTTTGTTCATACAGTGGGTCGTTCAGTCAGTGAGTGAGTGAGGTTTATACCCATTCATTTTCTTATGGCGGAACAGCTGTACAGCTCCTCCAGGGAGTGAAGAGCACAGCCGATGATCCTGATGCTCTCTCCTGAGCGGTACTGCTGACAAACCACAATGGGATGCAGTATGTCAGTGCACAGCTCCTTGGCTGAGGCGTTGTTCTTCAGGACCCTCAGGAAGTGGAGTCGCTGCTGTGCCTTCTTGATTATGCTGTGGTGTTTGTTTTCCATGATAGGTCACCACCCAGGTGAAGGCCCAGGAGCTTGAAGTCAGAGACACAGTCCCTATTCATGTGTGGGCTGAGGGTCAGATTTTCTCCTTCTAGCTTCCAGCTATTATTTCTTTGGTTTTTGTGGTGTTGAGGACCAGCTTGTTGTGGTTGCACCATAATGACAGATTTTCCACTTCGTCCCTGTGTGCAGACTCATCTCCCCCTGTGATGAGCCCGATCACAGATGTGTCGTTCACAAACTTCACAGTGGTGTTGCACGGGTGGGTGGGGGTGCAGTCGTGAGTGTATAGAGTGTACAGCAGGGACTCAGCACACATCCCTGAGTGGAGCTGGTGTTGAGGCTGAGTGCTGAGGACAGATGTGTCCCTACTTTGACTCTCTTTGGGCGATCACTGAGGAAGTCCTTGATCCAGAGACAGGATGAGTGTAGGAGGCCGAGGTCGTGTAGTTTGGTTACCAGCCTGGCAGGGACGATGGTGTTAAAAGCTGAGCTACACTCAATAAAAAGAAGCCTGACGTAGCCGTCCTTTTGTTCAAAGTGAGTTAGGGTTGTATGCAGGGCTATGGCATCTTCTGTTTATCTGTTCTTCTCGTATGCAAACCGGTGGAGATTGAATGTGGCTGGGAGTCCTCTCGAGACACTTCGAGATGACTGGAGTAAGAGCCACTGGGCGGAAATCGTTAGGCTAGCTAGACACATGAACAGGTTGGTGGTGCACCTGGGGCCTCACAGTCACCCAGCTGTCCTGTTTTCCCGGCTGCTCAGGGCCTGCCAGGCACGGCTGCAGCTCACAGAGGAACACGTTCATCAGCTGGCACGTTATCTGCTTACCCACAGCGATAAATCAGCTCCCCGTGTTGTGGTTGCAGTATCTAGTAGTTCCACGTATTGACAACGCTGTCTCCAGATGTTCTTGGCCTTGTTCAGAATTCCCACCTCACCAGCAGTAACCTTCAGCTCCCACCTGCATGAAAACCTTGGATTAAGCTCTCCTCTCTTCTTAGAAACCCGCTTCTGGTGACCACTACTCCCAGTGCTTCCCTTCTATCCAAAGATCTAAACCAGTACAGAGTCCAACACTCTGTACCAGCCTAGTCCGCCTGTCACACTTTCATACTCACACATTTTATTCTGTGTGTGCTAGTCTGCTGAAACGTTAGCCCTGCTCCAGCTTCACTTTACAATGCCAGAGCACTGAGCAAAGAAATCTTTATCTTTCTTTATGTTGGTTACCCAAAATGGACAACGTGGACTTTATGAAGGAGGAAACAAGATCAGGAAAGTCCAACTCTAAAGAAAAACTGCAGTTAAACATGAATTCAGTAGATTTGTTTCATAATAAAACAAATCTACTGATTTGTTTTATTATTTCACTTTCATTTCTCATGTGAGAATTGAAAGTGGATCAGCTGTGCTGCCACAGTGCTGATCGTGCTACTTCTTTCCACTCTGTTCATTTCCTCATTTCCCAAACTTGGACTGTTTTATTAGACAGAAATGATGAACACATAAAACTTTAAACACATAATCAGTAATGTTTGAACCCTTCTTTGTTTATTTAACGCTTGTTATTTTTCCTTTTCAGTATAACTCACAATAATCATCGTCAGTCATTCCAGTACAATCCTTAATAGCTGCCCATGGTTTTTGATGACGATCAGTCACGTGTGTTGATATTGTGACTATGATCACATGTCTGCTGTGTATTTAAATGTGGATGTTTCTGTGTGAGATCAGCAGCCGTCCAGCAAACCTCATCCAGCCGACCACGTCTGCACACACGTAAGTCTGCCACCATTCACTCGGCGTCCTCATTTCACTCTTTATTTTACTCTGGTGAAAATCATCTCCCAACACTTTGGTATCATCTTATTAATTAAAGGTGGTAATAAGCTATTTTTCCCATATGTTCCTCTGGGTTCAGTTTAATGGTTTCAGGCTCAGAGTGGAGACTGTAATATCATAAAAACACAAGGATGCTGTGATTGTGTGCAGATTGTTCTGTTGGCATTTTTTCCTTTTAAAGAGCTTCTTAGTTGGCGCTGTTGCCATTATTACATACTATCCTGATTCCCCTTGTTAAAACCTTTTTATATCTGGATTGATTCGTGATTCGTTCAACTCTGTTTGGTGCAGGAACCCATAATGTCTTTCATCGCTGAGCTCCAAGTGTCTTTGAACAAAGCCGAGGAGTTTGCGCTCCGTGAACAAGGCTTCAAGAAAATCTTTGTTAATCTGAACGAAGGAGCCGGGGGAAACTTCGTCTACCTCTGGTACAAAAAAGGCGATCATGCAATTACCAGGATTCAGATTTCCTTCAACGATGAGATGTCCACGGGTCTGTCCAGTGCAGGGTTCAAAAAGATCGACAAAAACCTGAACGAGGGGGCATGTGGAGGTTCTGTCTACCTGTGGTACTACAAAGGTTCCTTAAAGTACGATGTTCCCATCAGGAAACTCGATGTCTCTGTACAAGCAGGAGATGAACCCTACAAGTATAAACTGGGCTGGGAGAGACTGGCCTGTGACCTGAACCGTGGTGCTGGAGGAAACTGGATCTATCTGTGGTTGAAGAGAGAGAACCCCACCTACATCTGTGACATCAAGGCCACTGCTAAATTTGAGGAAGATGACGACAACTTCAATGATGGCTACATCCGGGTGGATGAAGACACCAACAGGGGAGCAGGAGGGCCCTACATCTTCATCTGGTACCGTCAAACCACAGACCCCAAGGACACCATCAGTGAGCTGGAAATCTCCTCCAGTGATGTCAAGCAAAAGAGCCTCCAAGACCAAGGCTATGAAATCGTGAACCAGGATCTGAACGAGGGCACCGAGGGAAAGGAGGTGTTCCTGTGGTACAAGAAAGACAGCGGCAGCGCTCCCATCAAGGCCGTCACCGTGCTCGCCGACCCAGCAGCTAAGCAGGCGTATGACAATGACGGGCTCAACGTGAACCCAGAAAACCTCAACACAGGCAACCCAGGAGCTGCTCCCGTCTACCTGTGCTATCATCAGTGAGAGCGGTCATGGTAAAAGAAGTGAGCACGCTCACTGAGCAGAAACCCAGAGGTCTGATGATGTTTTTTTTCTTTAATGATGTTCAATCACTGTGATCTCAGAGGTTTGTCTGCACCAGCGATCATTGATCCTCCAACCAATCTGATTGATTAGCTCTGAATCACTTTATTCTGTTTATTGTCTCTCTTTCAATAAAGTCTGTTTAGCATCTGAAATCTGTCTGTGTCGTGTGTCAAAGCTTCATCTGTTGCTTGTTAGCAGAGTAAGGTGAGCTCAGCAGGATCAATACATGACTTCATTTAGCAGAAACCCGAGTTCACACTGAACCTCACAGTAATCACAGCAGTAGGTACGTCCTCTTTGGACTCAGGTTCATCGTGACCAATCAAACAGTACATCTGAGGAGGGCCTTCATATGTCCTGTGTAGAAAAATGCTCAGCAGTATCTGAGCCGAAGGCATGACGGCGTCGCACAGGTGGAACCCGTTTAACAGCAGGACTATGAGCAGCAACTTGGTCAGAGAATACAGCATCCTCGACGTGTACCGTATTTTCACGACCATAAGGCGCACTGTGCTAAAAGGCGCAGTCTCAGTTATGTGTGCC